ATGAACATGACAATACTGCAATCTTCCTTTTAAGCTAAGCCATATGTTAATGATTGCTAGACATCTCACATTGAAAATCACGCGTGATATCTCTTTGAATTTTATCTTAATATTTAGCCAAAGAATCATGAAAATTACGTCGGAGTTTTGTCAATGTAGTGCATGTATGCAGTGTATGGTTCATAATTTTAACATTTAACTATATGGCGTATAGAAATAACGTCCACCATCTTTTACCGTTTACTAACAGAGAATAGGTTTTTTGTTTAGACATCAGGGTACCGTCTTTTAGCAGCTAAGCGTGACAAGCGTGCTGCTGTTGTTACTCAAATGTTTATTTAGAATATGTGCTATTTTAATTGTTGTTTTCTTCATAAAATCGACTGTGACGCTACTGAATGATAAACAATAATGTTAAACATCTAGCCTGGTAGCGGTGTCTTTAAGACAGGAAATCTACTCGTGTTAGATGAAACAAGAATCATTACATCGAGCCGATGGAAGGATTACAGCAATGCAACCACTCGTTGTAACGTGAATTAGCAACCTTTATAAACGAGGGCACGTGCTTGACATCGACATATAATCCCGAGTCAATTAGAAACGGGTGAAAACGATTGGGACAACGCTTCTTATTAGCTAACGTAACCCGTGCCGAAAGCAGTCTATGTAAATAATCTGTCTGGTTTTTGTTCAGTTTCTTTCCTATAATTATAGCCCCGACAGATTTCATATTAAATGATGTGGTTCGCAGTCGTATAAATGTTGGTGTTATTGATTTCTCATTTTTCTTATGATATTCCGACAGAAAATATTTTAAGGAGCGTTAACGTATTGCTAAATAGATATTGCACAACAGATTCTATTACATATAACCATATCTTTACATTGATGTTGTTTTTATTTCCACTTACAGATACTAATTGTGAGATTATTGTTATTATGATATTTGCTTGTTGCATCTTGGTTATTTTTCTTGTGAATTGTACCTCGCAAATAAATGTTGTTGGTATTTCCATTATTTTGCGTCTCATAATTTTATTTCCACCTTCGCGAGAGCTCGATTACATAGCCAAATACAGACTATTGCTCGCAGTAACAGCTTAAAACGGTAATTGTAAATTTTGATTTTAAACTGGCTCAATTGAAATATAGGCACGCAAAAAACATTTGTTTGCTTCTTCTTCGAAGTCTGGTTTATGGTTTGACTCAATATAATTATAAATTGTAATTATAAAACAATGTCATTAGAACTATAAACAAGTGAAATAATAACGCACCAGCTGACGGGACGCTAAAAAATCTATTCGTATAGATTTAGGAGAATATTTTAGTCGGAATGGGCTTCGCGGTTGTAATAATTTACGGGAAAACTTTATTGAAGCACTCCTAGCATGCGGTAAAGAAGGAGGGGCGGAGAAATGGAATGCGTTCCTAGAAGAGTGTTAATTAGAAGAGTAAGAGTACGAGAATAAGGGGGACACGAGAAAGGACAAGAGCGAAAGATAGAGTGAAAGAGAGTACGAGAAGGAGAACGAGAGATAGATTGAGAAAGAGAGAAGGAGAGCGAGGGCAAAAAAGAGAGAGAGAAAGAAAAGGAGAAAAAGTAGAGAGAGAGAGAGAGAGTGCGCGAGAAAGAGAGAGAGAAAGAGAGAAAGAAAGAGAGAGAAAAAAGGAGAGAGGGAGAGAGAGGGAGAGAAGGAAAGGGAGAGAGAGAGAGATGTGGAGAGAAATGGAGAGACAGAGAGGAAGGGAGAGAGGGAGAGAGAGAGAGAGAGCGCGGGGAGAGGGAGAGGGAGAGAGCGAGAGAGAGATAAGGGGGGAGTAGGAGAAGGAGAGAGTGCGAGAGAGATGTAGCTGGATTTTAGGTGCGCATGTGTGCGAACTTGTTGCATTAATATCGCGGAAGATCACTGAACTACTCTACTAGCTATTGCTATACACTCTACTATAGCTACAACTACAGCTACTCATGTTACATCTAGTTTCATTCTACTTGCTGATATCCGCGGCCGCGGTAGTCGTTAACGTAACACATAGCACGACTTCAACAAATACCTCAATGTCATTTGACTGACCGAACAAGACAAGCTAGGTAGGGTTAGCTGTCATCTGTTCGCGTGATGCCAGCACCATACGAATGTCGTCGTACAATCGATAGCGGTTGTGTCGTACTAGGGTGAATGATTGTTCCACAATAATTATTGCGAATTGCAGATGGCCGATTATTCATATGATAACTTGTCCGTGTAGCAATAATTGTTTCACGCGTGTCACAAACAGCGATGTACGTTGGTCAACAATATTTGCGATACGTGCGATAGTGCCTGTAGATATCGTAACATCGAACATCGTAACGGCTCAGAGGACTCATCCTGCTACTCCGCAGACATGGGAAAGTTACTCATCGTTGTTCTTCTCGTGGGTTCGACCTGCTATGTATGTCTGACACACGTTAGATACGATTTAGTCACTGTCAAATAGCGTTTGCGGCACTGATTACTTATCTAGCTTTTAAGTTATGTCACTAGGACCGGGGATTGGCAAGTTGTTGTTGTATAGATATATCAATGGTGACGCGTTTATATCAGACACGCTTACTTCGCAGATTTCGTGTTTGCAAGCAGCGTGGATTTATCTAAGTAGTATACCTAGCTCATTATGCAGAGTATGTATGTAATTTTATGTATTTTTCTATCAACAGCTTGGTAGTGGGTCATGGACTCATGGTACGGAAACAACAAAGGGGGAAGTCATGGAAATAACGGAGGAAGATATGGAAACAACGGAGGAGGAGGACGATACAGAAACGACGGAGGAGGAGGATACAAAAACAAAGGAGAAGGAGGATACGGAAACAACGGAGAAGGAAGAGCAGGTTATGGAAACAAAGAAGGAGAAGGAGAATATGGAAACAGCGAAGGAGGAGGAGGAGGATATGGAAACAACGGAGGAGAAGGAGGCTGCGGAAACAACAGAGGAGGAGACGGAAACAACAGAGGGGGACACGGAAGCAGTTACACACACACACACACACACACACACACACACACACACACACACACACACCTATTATAATAGATTCGTATGTTTTGTTCTTCGCTGTACTCATCCTCTCTCGCTGCAGGTAAAATATTCACGAGACCCGGAAGAGCTAAATGCGCCATTCTCTCAATTCGACCAGAATATGACATTGCGTGATCAGCCATGATTTGGCATTATTTTCAAGAGAAATCTATCGTTAACAAATCTTTGAAAACAAATCAAACTTGGAAACGAAGTCAAATGATCAAATCAGGAAGCGAAATAGAAAATCTTTCATGACGTTATGTGATTATACTGGCCATATTATTAGCCACTTTATTGCTGTTATAGTGCATTTATAATCCTTGGCATGTTCATAGCCTAACGCTTCAACCGCCTGATTGTTTTCAATTTGAGAGACCAGCAAGTATCTTATAGATTATGTTAGCTCAAATCGCCTATTGCACGATTAGTGTTACTGTTATATCCTGATTAAATACGTTAATACAGCTATCTGCATGTGTAGGCATTCATTCAACCGACTGCAGCGTACCATGGCCATATCCTAAGCAGCTTACAATCTTTGGTTATGATGCATGTACGTAATGAAATCATTACGAGTTAATTTTATATAGCAGACCTTTATTTCTTAGAAACTTGTAAGACATTTCAAATACAGGGAAATTCGAAGTGCATTTCTCCATAAAGTGAAAGTAATTTACTCTCAAAAGCGACAAATAAATCACAGTTGGATCTCTTTTCGGGTCAAAAAGGTCGCCGGACAAATAAGCGTTCTATACTGTAGAATATAGGGTTCCATTCTTCGTACATTTCGCATTCTTTTCGGTATTTCGATAGTTTTACGGAGAAGCAGTCTGTGTTGGCGTGTAGGGACATGGACTACTACTACAGGGCGCAGATATTCTGCTCCACCACATGTAAATTTTACGAGCATATTTCCTGATGCAATTAAGATATATACTTAGCGATGAACTTATATCAAACAAAATTAGCAGCACTTAATTAAACTGGGCTATGAATGTCTTCGTTGAGAGTAACTGCCCGAGGGCCATAATAAGCATTTAACAATGACAACATGATGACCATCTTCAACATCAATCACAATCAAAACATGTTAAGTAAGCTCTATAAAACATGTCCGAGCGCTGTCATTCAAGTAAAGGGCCTGCTCTCTTTTTCTCTCGCGCGCTCTCTCTCCCTCTTTCACTGTCTGTTCCCTTTCTTCATCTCCCTCTCTTTTCCTCCCCCGCTCTCGCATTCTTTCCCCTCTCTATCCGTCCCTATCCCCCTTCCTTCTCGTCTCTCTCAATGATGAGTAAAGGTCTGGCTACGTTTGATCACGAGTTGAATTCTGTCGCTCACTGTCTAACAGGTATTTAGGTATATGCTCATATAGACTTGGAAGGATGCACGAAGTGGGTTCTTGTGCCTTCGTCTACGAGAGTAACATGTGAAACGAAAGTGGATGGAGTTCATTCTCAGTTTCCCAGGTAAAAGACAATTTTCCCAATTAATGGTTAATTGAATCGCAATTTCGCCTTTCTCACGTCCTGGTTGGTTGAACTCTATTCCCAAATCACAAGGAATTATTCTCGAGTAATTAAAATGGTCCAATCTCGCGTCCGAAGAAAGCTGTTCTCCAACTTCGCATGTCACCGTGTAACGTTGAATTAAGAGTTCATGTAGAAATGATGAAGTAGAAATCCAAACTTGTGTCTTGAACTGCATAAACTTTAATATCTGCTCACGTCACATATCCTTGCACACAGGGACAAAGCGTGCGCTTTTTCCCGACCACAACCAGACTTTCCACTTCTACATCTCTCCCCTCAATCTCTCCTAACCTCCTATATATTACCCCCAAAACCCCTACATTCTGAGCGCACATGTACCCGTTGTCCCAGACCGCGTCCTACCTCCATTTCACAATGACCCTAGAAACGTCCGACCTAAAA